TTGCTCAGCCACAGCAATAGCTCCCCTCTGAGAAGGTAATTTAGAGATAAATACATAGGGGAGGATGGGAAATCTTTACATTTCTTCAGTTGTCACCATCCTCTATTAAACTTATTTAAAGATATTACCTCAAGGAAGAAGGCCAGTAAAGAAAAAAACATCAATGAGTGACTGTTATTTAAGCATTATAAGCCTGAAGCAGTAACATGTATTTATATCACATACTGTTAGAGATCCCCTAAAACTAAAGATGCTTAATCTTCTGGCCTCCTGAACAGTCAATAAAGCATTTCTTTAGAATCTCAGACTCATGATAGCAAACCTAATGCTGTAGTACGATGCTGGTAAAATAGGTTACAGTCATGCCTGATTTCCTTACAGCTTATCGTTTGTGAACGCATAGTTACAGCTCCTTTTCTTATGTACGTTACCTAGTGTTAATCAATATGAAAGTCCTTCAGCCTCTTTATCCACCCAGTAACTTCCATGACATATTTTTCCAAGTCTTCACAGCCAGTTTTACCTTTGGCTGCTCTGAATACGCAGCTTCACCACCTCATCCAAACCATTTAGGAAGACACTGAACAGCATGGACCTCCATATGACACCACTGCTAACTTGGCTCCAGTGTGACATCTGCCCTCTGGTTTCGTACCAGTTATTAAACCACTAGAGTATACATGACAGCTTAGGGGGTTTTTAAGAAACCTATGTCAGGGCACTTGTCAAAAGCTTTTTCAAAATCCAAATACACTCTATCAACCAGGCCAACCCTATTCAAATGCTCACTGACTCTTCCACAGAGTGCTAACATACGTGTTCCACCTGTAAAAGCTTCATCAACTGACCCCTACTATATCACATTAATCCCTGCCTGCTAATTTCTATCTTTATTATTGTTTCAACCACTTTGCCTGGTTGCTCCATCTGAAAGTCAGCCTTATGCCACTATACTTCTAGATTCCCCCAGGAGCCCTTTTTTACCTTTTGGCCCCAAAGTAACATCACATTTTCCACATTGTGTTCCTGTGACTCTTATAATGATGTATTGAATACCAGCTAAAAGACAACCCTGAGCATCAATGGGGGGAAAGGCACGTTAAGAATTACCATTGCAGGGGAAATACAGAAAGTCAATAATACTGGTCATTGTAAATGTTTCAACATGTACTTTGTCCTAAGTTTTCAGCAGATTTACAGAAGAAATGGGACTATCTAGAGTCTGTCATTACAGATAATAATTAGTCATTGTAGGATTCAGGCCTTACTCACTTACAATAAATGGTATTTCCACACAGTTGACATCATTTACCTCTTCAGCTTTTCATAAAGGGAGCCACATTGCTCCCATTGAAGTATCTTAGACACAGTACATGTTTCCAGCTTGCTACCCTATTTTTCGTTCTCACACAACTTACACTCTTTTCTCCTTAAATTTTATCTCTTCAGCCCCTTCACAGTAAGAAAAGGCATATTTCTCTATGGGATCTTGCCCTGCTCTGAAAGAAACCATTTGTCAAGAAGTGAATTAAAACTTGTCAAGCTACCTGTGCTCAGAGCAATCACCCCTTGAGGAGAGTAAGGACTGGTACTCAATGTGTCATTCTCAACTTAGTAAGGTGAAGTTAGGTGGGAATTACACAGCCCATCAGCACTGCTACATTCTTACCCGTACAGCAGAAACCAGCAAGGAACCAGTCCTCCACATCATAACTACGAAAGACAAGACAGCAGCAACCTGGGAGGTGAGGAAGGAAAAAGCTGCCCCACCAGCTGCTTAACCCACTGTAACCACACAGTAATAATAGGGCGAGGGACACCACTGAACTAGGAACAATCACACAAACCAAGGAGAGCACTAGCCACAGCTGCTGCAGTAGGAAAAAGTGACTCCAAAATCCACCACTGATTCTGTCCCCTGTGTGTATCTCATACTTACTATTGGACAGGCTGCAAGAAAAAGACAAGGAAAAAGATAACCGAGAGGAGCAGTAAAGTAGAAAGAGTAAAGTAGAAAGCTGTTAGAAGAGGAGGGACTGAAGTTAACAGAGGACCACAACACATCTGCCAATGTTTGCTGATTGTTCTCTCAACTGCTATGATACTTAAAGCAGTGAGGAAGAAAGGTAACTACTTTATTCCCATCATCCTCATAATGAGATACTAGCTGACTAAGTCTTGATCAGCAGAAGCTGGTGAAGAGGAAATTATAATGGAGAATGTTACTGCACAGTGGGCTAAATGCTACCAAAAGCTACTTGGCACTGCTCAGAGAAGGCAAAACTACGAGTGTTTAGTACTAAAAGAACACCTAGATAGGACTGATACTTTTCGTTTGACCACAAGTTCGAAGAATTAGGATACATGAGATTTCATTTGTTCTCGACTCATAAATTTTACAAAAAGCTATATTGTTGGAGGGGTTTTTTAATGGGCAAACACTGTCATTTATAAAGTTGCACAAGAGGAATGGGTTAACAGAGATGTGTAATAGGTATTGCATATTTTAAACTGTGGATCAGAGAAGATGCCTAGTTTATTTTTTGAGGAGCAATAAAACCAGTAACTAGCACACCCCATCACCATCTGGATGGTCTACATCTTAACTCAAGAACTAAAGGGCTGATTGAATTAGTAAAGAGCTCTTATCTTCTTCAGCACAGGATTCTTCCAAATTGTGGTCAACAAATACATGGCGAGAAGGACACAGCTGGAACCCTGGGCCCAAATAAACAGTATCTTCAATAATGTTTTCAGCTGAGAGTTAAACAACAGAGACATTTGAAGCTTCAACAGAAGCTTTTTGACGCGTAAATTCTTGGTGTAGCGTGCCAGGCAGGAGAGAAATACCACCCACATTGCCAGCGTGCTACATATATATATATATATATATGCTATTTTGGAGGAGAAGCTCACACAGCTGAGCAACATAGCTGCTCGAGGTCCTGCCATGCCCCTTGGCATTCTGGTAGAGCTCTTCCTTTTGAAAGCTGTAATGGGTCGGCCTGAGATGCAGCCCTCACCATGCTGTGCAGTGGTAGCTAGATAACACACCAGTCTTGACTACGGCTGAGCAGGGCTCACACAGCACCAAGGCTGCTTCCCCAACATTTCCCCAGTAGGCTGGGGGTGGGTAAAACTTAGGAGGGGATATAGCCAGGACAGCTGACCCAAACTGACCAAAGGGATATTCCATACCGCATGACATCGGCTCAGCAATATAAGCTGGGGAAAACAGGAAGAAGGGGGGAACATTCATTTCACATTTGTCATCCAGAGCAACTGCTACACGTACCGGAGCCCTACTTCCCAGAAAGTGGCTGGACATCACCTGCTGATGGGAAGTAGAGAATAAGATCTTTTGTTTTGCTTTTGCTTCCACACGTGGTTTTTGCTTCATTAAACTCTTTATCTGACCCATGTGCCTGTTGTTATATTTTCTCTCCCCTGTCCAGCTGAGGGGTTGAGAGTGATAGAGTGGCTTTGGTGGGCACATGGCCAGGGCCAAGCCACCACAAAAGCCCTCTGCTGTGCTCTCTGATGAAGAAAGTAAGTAGACCATATGACCCAAGGCATATAATCTGCTGCTATCTGGGATCAAGCAGTTGATCTTCATTAGACTTTGCTGATCTGTTTGAAGATACCAGATAACTGAGATCTTTCCGCAAGGCACAAGTCATGCTGGTAAGCTTCACCAGTCACCCTCAAAGCATAGGAAAAGGCTGAAGTCTCTTGGCTACACATAGCTGCAGGCACACAAGTGCAATGAGGTGCAAAGACAGTTTTATTGAGCTGCAGGCACAAGGAGATGCAAGCACGCCTTAAAGGTCTTCCTAAGGCAAAGACCCTTAGAAATGCCATGCTCTCTGTTATTTCTGGTGCTGCAGCCAAGTGCTAAGCCTCATAAAGAGGCAGGCACAACAAATGGGCTCTGCTAGAGAACACACATAGAAAGGGTGTTCTTTAACGAACACTCCCCCACCTGGGAATCTCTAAATAACTGTCCCAGGTTTGCTGTATTCCACTATTTAATACTATATCCTCTTTTCTAACACACTGGAAAAACAGGAGAAGAGACCACATTTTCATCTGTGAGTTTCCACCTGCTTAAAATAGCCCAAATTACTTCTTTGTTTTCCATTTACCACAAACTCATGACTTAAGAAATACAGAGTATTCTCTGTGAGCAACAGTGTCAGCTATAGGTATTTAGGCTGACAATCTCTTTATGTTAATGCTGATTTGTATGGTTACTCAAGGTGCATATTTTAGCTGTTCTGCACATTACATACTTCAATTCTATCTTCAAACGCTAATCTCTTGTAACCTATGTAAATAAGTATTCAGACTCTGCTGTGTGGGTGATTAAACAGATATAAATATGAATAAAGCTCTAAGTAACTGGGTTGTATTTTAATTAATTTTAAATAAAATTAGCACAAATTTTACAATTTGAAAGGTGCTGTATTTCCTAAGTTGGACAGACATCTGTTTCTCTCCTGCTACTTCATTTCCATACTCCTGACTTACAATGGCACGTGAAGCAAAGGAAACAAAGCCCCCCTCTACATATCTCCTTAACCTCAAGCAGACAGGCAACACAGCATCAGTGGCTGAGCCTTGCTGGCGACACAGAGACTGCTTCTGCCAAAGGTGAAGCCTGCCTGTGCATTGGTTTTGGAACAATGATGTCATAGGAAATTTTGTCTCTTATTTTAATAGAAGGAAGGACAAAATGACCTTTGCCAATTTTGTTGTCAGTGACGTCAACTGGCTTCAAGGAAGCTGACACTTTAGCACTGAATCTGCTCTGAGCCTACCAACTCTTCCCAAAGTCCACAGCAGATAACTGTTCTCAGGCACATTCAAATGGATGTGGCTATCTCTCTATCCCAAAGCCCTTCCCTTGAGCCTATCCAACCCTGTTCTAGGCTGAAAGCTCCCAGTCCTGTTAAAATTAATCTAGAACACTATTTTAAAAAATTGAAATCCAAAGTTACCTTTCCAATGCCAGGGTTGTCCTTGATTTTGGACACAGCTCTCAGAAGGCATGGTGGTGCTGGGGGAGGACAGAGCTGCAGGATGCCACTAAAGTTAGTAGCATAAATAGAGAAGTCGTGAGTGTGTGGCAGGGGCGGATGGTATTTCTTTCTCTTCGAAGACAGGTTAAGCTTCTGTGCTGCTCTGTATAAAAGTAATAGCAAGAAAGGACAATGTTACTAGGTGTTAATGGGAACCTGGACCAGATAAACAGATGCTCATTGTTATCACTGCCTGCTTAACAAATCAAGTCATTGTGTTCTAATCTGATTTCATAAGGACAAACCATCAGGAGACTAATCGAAGGAAATATGGGTAGAAAAATTACTAGCAAAATATTCAGCTAATTTCTCCCCCAACAAAGTTTCAATTATAATCCAACTTTCCCCTCTTTTCCCCAACAGCTTGACACAGATATCTTAAAATGCTAAAATCTCACTGACATAATAAAAAGCTGAAATAATCCCCTTGTCACTGGCAGGACCAGATGGACTTTGCTGGTGATAACATTATGAAAGTGGTTCTTTGTACTCTACAAGTTACTCAAGGCAGAGCTTAACACTCCAAGTCAGCTGAGCTCAAGATCCTCTCCTGTTGGCTGCACTGAAAATCCTTAGATAACAGAGAATTTCCTTCAAGCCAGATTGTTTTTTCCTCCTCAATTCCATTCTTTCACATTAAAAGGGAAAGCTATTAAAAAGACATGCTTTAATGTTCTAAATGATAATGATCCAGCTTTTGAAATGCAGAATTTCAAAACATAAAAGATGAAGAAGGAAAAATTAAAACATACAATTAAAATTGTAACATTCTTCCTTGTGAATAAGAATAGCAACATAATCAGTTTTTCTGCTATTTCCCATCAGCAACACCAAACAGTATAGCAAGAAACAAAAACAGAAACTTGACTCTACATCAAAACCCATATGGGAAAAAAATCACCCTGCTGAGTTAGGTAGAACAAATACATGTGTTAGTGAGCACACGCTGGGCAGCTGGGGGTGGCCGTGAGGGTGAAATCTCAGCTCTGCCAAAGCCAAGGAGAGCTTTGCCACATGTGATCTGACCCCGAGACTGTCAGTAGATAACCCACTCTCAGATATATATCCAAAAAAGCATCCAATGTGCTATATTTCAACATCACTTTGAATAACTGTTAAGCCAGCAAAAATGCAAAGTGTTACACTGTCAGCATCTGTGGGCAACCTGAGATCATGCTACTGATGCCAACAGGTCTTCTGGGGACAAATCACTATTCTGGTCCATGCTTGCAATATAAAGGCTTGTCACTTTGGACAAATTACTTTATAAATATGTGATGATAAAAAGTCTCTTTATACAACAGCTACTTTATATTTTCATCGTGCCTTTCAGCTAAGGATCTCCAAGTACTTCTTAATGAGATCAAACTGGCACTAGCATCTGTGAAGTATTATAAGCAAGAGACATAGGCAGAAACTAAGGCAGTGCTTTGCTGTCATACTTAATTTAGGGTAAACCTAGATCCCTAAACTTGCCATGAATCTGTCATCAGGCAGCCTTAGGCTTAGTCAGCTTAGTAAGCCAATCAGAGAAGGAAACTCTTCCTTTGCTTATATTTATGGTAAGTTAGAAGCAAAAATGACCACTGAGAGCAGAAGGGTTGCACAGTTTCTTCCAGCAGCACTATTGGCTTCAAATGATTTACACTATGAAGAACTGGTTATGTCTGAGAAGCAAAATTACTCACTTGGGACAAGATTATACAGCTAGTCAGTATGAGGGGCAGGACTTTCAATAAAGATCTCCAAAATTCCCAGTCCTATGCTCTATATTCCCAAACTTGTGTGTTAAACTCCTGGACCTTTTCACTTCATCGACTTCTGGAGGTGCAGACCCCTTATGCACTTCCTTCTCTCTCTCTGCAAACACTGCAGTATTTAGAAAAAGACAAAGGCTCGTGTGATGAAAAAATGAGGCTCTAGTTCCAAACTCAGAGGGAGCCAGAAGCCACTGTCTTGTGAGGAACAAGTTGGACTTTTGCCTCTGA